TTCGTTGTTGATCGCGTTTATTGACCACGTCCGAACGACGGACAATGGCCGGCTAGCGCTGATTGACTTTTTATTGCGCGCTGACAGTATCCTCCAACGGCTGCCGTCTCTGGAGCACTCGCAGACGGCCAGTGAGGAACTGTCACACCTGCACTGGGAAACATGGGAGTTGTATCGAACGTACTTGCACAACGGGGACCGGTCCGCTTTGATGGTGTTTTCACCCGAGCTGTACACGGCGTTCAAACAGGCCGTCGAGGCGAGCATCGACCTGTTCCCTCAAAAAATATGTCTGCCATTGGAAAAAGCGTACAGCATGGCCTTGACGCAGGTTAAACGGAATTTGACTTCTTTTTCACATTCCAGTGCCTACTACAACTTAGTCTGTGGTCCGGTGGTGCCTCCGTCGGTGAATCTGCGAAACATTGACTCCTTGGTGACACACTATTCAGAAGGGGACACCATTGAGTTCAAGCGTCTTTATGCCAAAGAAAATGACCCTGATTCCGCGTCGTCAGACGATAGCTTTGGTAACAGCGGTTTTGGCAGCAAAGAACCGTCCACATCGACGGCAGATGACAATGATGTGAACGAAATTGATGACTTGGGAAGCAGTGACAATCACCTGTTGAACGATCTACGCGACCTGAGCCTGTGGAATGTGCATATTCCAAGAGTAGAACCTCGTCGTGATCCTCAATCCGGTAAAACCACGTACGTTTACGTGTTAGAAGTGATGCGGGTAGATCTCGATGAAGACGACCCGACTCGAAAATGGCACCTCGACCGGCGTTATCGCGAGTTCTACATCCTCGAGTCGAAGCTGATTGAGTTTCACGGCGAGGCGATCCTCGGTGGGTTCCCCCTTCCGCCGAAGCGTTCGTTCGGCACCAAAGGACGCGCATTCGTCGCCAGCCTGCGTCCCACTTTCGACCAGTTCTTGAAGCGACTGATGGCCAACCCGCTGCTGAAGGCCTCAGAGCTTTTGTTTACTTTCTTGACTTCTGATCAAGAGTTAACGGTGAATTTTTTTCCAGACCCGGTTGAAGCGATGAAGCGGATGCCTTCGAAGTTTTCTCGCGAACGAGGTCAAAATTTGACGAGTTTTCTTCGTAATCTGTTAATCAACTCCGTACCCGACAAGAGAGCGGCCAGACAGCGAGCGCCAGACGGTGGCGGAGCCGTTGTGACAGATATCACCGTGGTCGACAAAGCCGACCGCCTGAGGGAAGCTATTTACAATGGCATTTTCTGTAATAACTATTCGACCAGCAGCTACCGGAACCAGTCGTTGCCCGCTTACATCCGTTTGCCTGTATCCGGGTGTCTGGATGCCATTTTGTACATTGCCCAGCGGATATTCAGGGTACCACGATTGCTTTTTGTCGTGTTAGTATGTTTTCGTGTCATTTTTAAACCCCTGCTGACGCCATGGCTGCACAGGTGGATGCGGTCGAAGTTGAGTTATCTTTTGCAGCCGGTACTCGTGGTACATTTGGTTCAGATGCTGAGCGATGCGGTATTCTCTGACTGCCCCTTGGACAGAACATCAGACGAGGAGGCTGAATATCAGCAGCTGGCTTTCTCTAATTTGATGGACGTTTTCGAAAAGCGCGGCCTATTACTGAAACAAGCGATTAGCTTTGACGTCACTTCCAGCGTAGTAGTGAAGGTCTTTCGTTGTTTCCAGCACCCGTGCTTAAACAAGCAGCTTTCGTACGTACTACTTGATCTCATTTTGTGCGAAATGTTTCCAGAGCTTGGGCAGCGTCCATTTTGTAGCTGACCTCACCTATTCTTTGTTTACGTGTTCTTACGCATGGTTGCTGTAACTGTTTCAGTGAACGCATAGAAATAAAGTGTAATCGGTCTTCCTCAATTGAATTTTCACTGCAGTACATGCATTTTTATTGCTCGATTTTCTCTACTCCTATTTTATCGTGTCATTGTCCCTAATCTTGCGTTCATTGTGTTGGAAGCAATGTAAAAGTCAGTGTCTCATAGTGAACAATCACAAAAGCAAATCTGGCATGCTATGACGATGTACGGCAGTGCCTGTGGTCGTATTTATTTAAAGAGGCAGTGGTAGTCTTGGAATGACATTGTCACATATCTTTGATAATGTGTGTATAAGAGAAGAATACTGCCACCATCCACAGAGGGGGACGGTTGGAAACATTGTGTCAGTTCTGTACAGGTATTTAAATGTCTCCCTGCCGTCTGTCAGTGGATAAAGGAAATTTCTACTATCCCTCTTTATTTCCTGAAGACAGTTGTTATATTCATCGTTGAGCTTTTGACCTGGTCCATAGTCTAGCTTTGTGAAGGCTTGTATACGAGATAGCAAATGTAAGATGTGATTATGTTTTTAATCTCTTAACTACTTCAGTGAAGTCTGTACAAAGTTTAAATGATAATTTTTCTTGCTACCTATTATATGTATATATGCGCAGTGGTTCTACCCTTCATCATTGGTGGATACAAAGAGTATCCTCCTCTTATACAGATATTTTTGTCAAAAGATTTATCAGGCAGTATCTTTTTAGGATTACCACTCTCATTATCTCTGACCGCTGACGACCACAAGCAGTCATACTTTATACAGCATGTGAAAGTTTGCTTTTGTCATTATGTTTGAGCCGTGGATTCTTTGGTAGCCTTTAAGGTATATGTATGCGTGATATGTATGTTACCGTCGAGTGCTACACCGTCCATATCGGTATGGACTAGTCCATGCCGATATAGACTGAATTTGATTTACATTTAAGTCCCAAACCAGCAATGCGGCAATTTTACTGGATAATTGCTACGCCTACCCCTGCATTGTTGATG